GCTTCGATATTGTCCGATGCCTTGAAGTTGGTTGAGCAAGAAAAGGCTCCTCAGTTCAGGTTCGTACCTTTGAAAAACTCCTCTAGTTTGAATAATTTCTCAGAAATTAGTGACGAAGTAGGAGCTTTAGTCAAAACGATTTTCTTAACAACTCTCACAGCTGAAATAAATTGTCAGATTTTAGCTCAGCGTCAGAAATGGAATTCTGTTCCATTCTAATGCTTTATTGTCTACTGCAAAGCGTTCCTCGTCGCTCACCGTCTTGAAATTAACTAGTTGATCAATTGACAAATTAATTATCCTTGTCATCGTCTTCTCTTCAGATTGAAAGTCGTGCAGCTTGTTTCATTGGGGGAGGAAATCGTTGTTGAACGCTCAATGACGATGATTTGAATGTCGCTGAGTGATCTTCCAGTTTTCTATCGGAAACTGGACTTTAGTTTTTATGTGAACGTGATACGTCTGCTTTCTACACAAGTTTCTCCGCTTCTGGGCTAGCCGTTCTCCTCTTCTTGTTGGGATTCCCTCCTGTTCTAGCATCTTCTGCCTTGATATTTATCTCAAGTCGTTTCTTAAGATATTTCGCTCCTTCTTATTCAGTACTGAACCGCCAAATCAGCAAGAGCTTGAAGACGGTAGAGAAAGGGGAAATGCAAGGGAAGGTCGCAGCCACTCGTCCATTCACGGATCGGGTTTCAGCGTTTCATTGTGTAAGCCAAACGACCATTCAATTGCTCGTACTATTCCATATGGGGGTGGGATTTGTCGGTTATCCCTGTGGAATCGATCATGCTGACCATTTTATCCCAGTCATCTCTCAGACTTCAATAAACAATGACATCTTGTGAAATCTTGATGGGAGAGAAATAAGCTCTTCTGTTTTGATAACTGCTGCTCAACGCCGCAGTTCGGGTCTCGAAGCTAGCAAAAGAATGCTGAGTCATGAGCAAAAGTCTCAAGGGGTAAGAGCGGCTCTGGTGGCGTAATGGATAGCGCACTCGCTCGAAAGCGTGAACTGGGGCTTCGAGTTCTGCCTGGGGTCCGGATGTTCGCCCGCGACTCAGGATTCTAATGATGTGTGTTTGCATCTGAGGCAGACCCTTGCGAATGGGATTTTTTATTTTTGCAAAAGAATATGGTTTTTAATCAGATTCTCGCATTTGGAATATGCGCAAAATGGCGGTAAAGTTAATCATCTGCCATTGTCGCTCACCTCAGCCCATTGGAAGCTCTCATCGGTAATCTATCTTTCGGTAAATCTGCTTTAAGCATCTCTTATATCAATACTTTAATTTCCACTAAAATCTTTTTATTCCTCATTCCAAGTTGCAGTTCGCGAGAACGCTCCTGCTGTTTTTTTTTTTTCATAATCAGGCGTTCTACTACTTTGTACAATCAAAGTTGATCAACTTTGTAATGCTGACGACCCGCTCTCTTCCTAGTCAATTTGTTGATGCTGTTTGGCTAAAAAAACGTTCGGTTAAGTTTCGAAGATGTTGGCAAGCTGGTTTCAGAGGCCCTCGTCATTAATGATCGTAACACTCTTCAGTTGATGTGACTATGAGCGGAGCAGGTGATGTTCTGTTACCGCCCAGTCCAGAGAGAATAGTATGTGCTACAGAGCCAGCCTTATAGATAGCAGATGAAGGGATCTTTATGCCGAGAGAAGGGTACAGGAAGCAGATCGTTCATAACGTGTACCTCATTCCCTATACTTAGCACCCATGTAGGTGTAATATCGTGTTTCGTGGGTCAAACCATGCATGGGAATAGATTTTCACCTAGTGAGGTGATTTAGTGTCATGGCGCCAGTGCCTGTAGGCCGCATACCAAGCAGGTTTTGTGCCAAACGATTACGATATTCGTATAGTCATATTTGCGGGATTATGAACCCGCGTGCTGCTGTTGAATAACACGAATATTAGTAGACTGATTTATTAGTAGAGTGAATGAGATCGCTTCGGTTGTCGAGTATCAGAAGTGAATCGGACCCTGGAAAGTGAGGCTATGACCCATAAGGCGAACGATCGGGAAAGGAGATCTTCATGGGCACGATGAAGTCGCGCAGTTTTTTTTTGTGTCGGACGAGCTGGACGGTAGGTGAGCATTCTCGGTCGGAGAAACGGCTGATCGCCTGGCCGCAGGCATTAAATGACCAGCGACGATGACATCAGCAATACCCGTAAATCGCTAGCACAAGCTCAGCCGCAGGAGAAGCGACTGATAGAAAGAGATGAGAAGAGGAACTACTACTACTACTATATAAATATAGTGATGCTGCGGAACCCTATACAGTATTCATGTAATCAGAGTATCGTTCCTGAGGCACTCTTCCAGACATGGAACTTTGACACGAACCTTTCGGAAAACTGGAACAGTAAAATGCGAATAGTGCCCTCAGTTTTATTTAGTTAACTTACCTCGAGCACTTCTCGTCGGCTTCAGCCGGCGAGAACTGCTTGAGGTAGGTTAACTAAATTTTCCTCGTACACGACAAATATTCCTGATAGATGCAGTCAGGGCACATCTTATTGTTACCCTCCCTCCCTTTCTCAGGGAGTTGATTAGCCCCCTAGTTCCCTCCTCTGATGGAGCTGTCGCATGGGGAGGGGGTATATAGATAGTACACATGAAACAGGAAAAACCCGACGAAAAGTTAGCAACCCTATCAATTTTCCAGGGAGAAAATACAACCCCCTCTCCTTTTCAACGTTTCTAAGGCAAGAAAAATTAACTATCAAAAAAATTTTACTCAGCGCGATACACCCTCTTCGCCAGCAAACTAAATACGAGTTCGCACGCTTGGTTGGGGGAATCGCCAACAACGATGTACCCTGGAGGCCGTAGCTCATTGACCGCTTCTGAACGAAGGTGTCAAAGTGTTTTCTGCCAGGAACCTAGGATATTTTTCGAAAGCCCTCGGATTTGGGACGGGTTCAAAATTCAGTTACAGAAAATATGCTAACATGCTCACGTGGAACAGACTGATCCCTTCAGGGAATACGCTACGGTTGGCTTTATGACATGCCACCTCTAGAAGAGCAAATAATGAAACGGTGGGGCTCTTTCCCCAACCTAATAGAAAAACCTTTTCAGCAGTTTTTCCTACTACTAGGAAATTTTATCTTGCTCAGTTTTTTTCAGAGTCAATCATTTGGAGTGGCGTAATTCTGTCCCGAATCTTGCATCCGGATGTGTAGCCGATGGCGCAGTCTTCTCTCTCCTGGTCGAAGATCCACGGATTTCCAGGCCACGTTTTAGAAAAGTGGGTTATACGCAATTCTTACATTCTAGGGGTTAGGAATGTAGCATTTGATTTTTTTGTTGTCTTTCAATGACTAGAACTGAACTCGCCACATTTCCAGGTTTACATGAGACTGGCGGATTTTTTTTTTACTTTCTCAAGGGAGTCAGTGATAATTTGTTATCTTTGAGGTACCAGTTGTCGAGTCCTCTACATCCACAACGGCGTCGTTTTCCCCTCCACAGTCATCCTTTTGGAATAAGGACGCCCGGTTGAAAGCTCTATCATGCCGGTAAGGGATAATCGTTTCAAATTTTTATGGCAGCTATTATTTTTAAACTTCACTTCCTGGTGCAGATAATTATAAGAGGTGTTTCAGAATGACCGATTCGGAATTGAATACTCTGAAAGGAAAATGTCTTGGTCAAATCAAAGAGACTGAAGCTAAGGTTCGATTTCAATGCTTTTTTGCCTTTCGTTTTTGGGTGCTGTTCGGCTTGTGAGGGGCATTTTGCACTTTCGCTACTTACTGTTGCTTGTTGATGACTCTTGTCAAGTTTAAAAGATGCCCTTGCTATTCCACTACTTCCCACGAATCTACAGATCTCCACAGGACGCATGGGCAGTCATCGAAGAGAACCTGCAGAATGCCCAAAAACGCGCTCGTTTTTTGTTGTACTCTCGTTTTCAAAAGTGAAATTACCCGACTGTGGTGGCCTGTGATTGAGGCACTCAACGCTTGTGGACCATCTGATCGATGCCCCGAAATCAATCCATCAGATCGGCAGATGATAAAGAAAGGTTTTCAGCTGGTTAATAGCTAATTTTCACCGCGTTCACGGCATGCTAGCGGCAGTATGATGAATAGTTGTTGGTTTCAGTAGCGTAAAGGATGACTAAGGCAGCGTTCAGACTTCGCGACGGCAGCGCTTCGGTCGCGCGTTCGACGCGATCGATGCAGTCGAAAGCATGCGCATCGATCGCGTCGAACGCGCGACCGAAGCGCTGCCGTCGCGAAGTCTGAACGCTGCCTAATGTGCCCAGAAACGCACTGAAGCTGATTTAGTTCTCATGGATGGATATGCTTAGCAGGAGTTTAACTAAATCACCCTATGCGTAACTATCGCGTGTAGGAAGGCTAGCAAACGTTTCAGTTGACTGTAGAAGCACATGACATTTCCACCGCGCTTTTTGCGTTTAAAACGTTTTTTTCGAGTCGAGTTCTTCTTAGTCTTCTTGTGAGGGCAAAACATGCGTCAAAAGCACGTCTCAGTGCTTTTGATGGGAAGGCGCCGTTTCAGTACGAAGTTGTCCGGTCAGCAAGCATGGAGTGCACACCATTTTCGTGGCTCAGTAGTGTGTGATATCTGATCAGGCCGCCAACCAGTCATTACGAAGGCAATGCCCAGCCCTCTGCCCCATAACCAGCGTTTATGTCCAGAGGGGGTTTTGGTGGTGCGGCCGTGCGCTACCAACTTATTCCATTCCCTAAGGTAATAGCAAGTAATGCGGCATAAGAGATTCAATCGTTGCGATACCAGCAAGTGAGAACTCGCGAGAACTGAGTGAGAACTAAGAAGCACGCCCTCTCTTAGCCAAATGCATGTACAAGTCCGATCGGCAGGGGGTCGTACATAGACCATTTAAGACGATTTTTCTGCTTTCTTCTCCAGTATTGATTTGACTTCCACCTTGTTTCCCGTATTTGAGCCCCACTACCCACCTTTTTTGATGGCGTAACGTCCTTCAAAGGCACATTCCATGCTTTGTCTTGTGGGCGAAGTTACCCGGACTATGGTACTTACCTCACAGGCGTTTTCCTCCTCTTTGTCGTGTCAGGAGAAACCCGTGAAAGAGAAGGAGGGTCTTGTCAAAATGGCGCTTCCCGAAGGGGTTGTACTTTCAAGTAACAATAATTACAAGTTACCCTACCCATTTCGACATCCTTTCCCTTATAATCTTCTCGTCTATTGCAGATTCCCGTGCTAGTTGTGTTCCGAAGCGGAGGATCTGGCCGTGCTGATACTCTTTCCGGATGTGAACTGATCGTCCCCTGTGGATTTGGCATGTATATAATTTGTTTTGTGGCTTTCTTCTTACGAGACAATCCATTAGTCCGCTTTTATTGAAGCAATCTCTTTTAAGGAATGGATTTCTGGGTAGCGCTGCAGTTACGGACTGCTCGAGCGTCTGGATGGCGTGATGAGCTCACAGCTCATCTTGAAGCGTCTCGGTTTTGCTTCCCGACAGATGTCATCGATTCAGTGGCAGGCAGTGAAGAAATCAAGCGAATGCAAATAGAGAATGAGGTCATTTTCCCCCTCATTTCTTCGGCCTTCATTAATTATTATGGGAATTCTCATTAATTCATATTTTTCTATGCGTATTTCCATCAATTCTCTATTCTAGGCGAAATATGACAGGCGACCTCACAATCGACGAGTCAATTATTGGAGAAAACTCTCCATCAAATATCCGTTCACGTTTGAGTATGAGGAATTGGTCAAAGACTGGCTTAAAGCGAAGGTTAGTGAAGTTATGAACAGTTTTTTGGCAGCTTTTCGATACAAAAATGGCAGCATCTCGAAAGCGTCTCGTTCTTCGTAGTCGTTGAGTACAACACAACTTTGGTCGTATTCGTTCTGGAGAAAGAATCTTCCGATGGTTGACTTAGCGAATTTTTTTGGGCCATCAGTTGGTATTGCAGTTCTAAGGAAGGGAAATTTGAATCGGCTGGCTTATGCGAGTCATTCTATTAGGTTGGAAGGAAAGCCTGCGACACTTTGATCAAATTTTCGGATCAAATTTACCTTTATTAAAACACACCTCAATCTACAATATATTCATCATTAATGATTAGTGCCCACCTTTTGCACACTAGTATAGAACTACGGCAACTGCGATCAAAAGAACAGGTGGACCATTTTCGTGTAGACGTTGATTGCTTCCTAAATGATGAGTTAGGGATCAAAGGAGGTGGCAATTAAAGGCTGCCTAACTTCGGTAAATAAGGTTGGGTAGGTCGATTCTTCTTGAGCGAGATTCACATGTTCTCCTTGGTGTGCATATTCTCATCATGCTGTCTCCAATTGTGAGTATAGAAGGAAATTGTGCTGTTGAGTTCAAGAAATGAGTCAACCATGTCGTGATATATGGTAGATCGGTGGCCGTCGCTGCTGTGGCCAGCCTGCTCACATCGCTTTGAGTCCCCACCTAATCAACAGAACTTCTCCCTGTACATTCTGCCTGGCTAACGTTACTTATCTTCCTAGAGAGATCCATGGCGAGGGGTGGTTGCCATAGTTTACGTAAATACTTCAACACTCGCTTCCAACTACAAAATCTCACAAAAGTTCTTCCAGTGTGTACAAGGAAAAGGAAACTCAGTCAAGACCATCCACTGCGCTTTGCCAGACTGGTCCAACGCACAAGGCATCCATCGCAAGACGAGATTCTCTATAAGCGATTGCGGAGAAGCATGGCAATTGTCAATTAGGTGCAGCCAGCCTAGACAGGCTGCCAACTTAGTGGGGTTGCGTTCGGCTGCGTCTCCACAAGGTTGAGTGAAAGGCCGTCATTCTGTGTTGGTGACCGATCTATACAGGGGGCCAAAAAAAGTCATTCCGGCCGAGTCACATATGAGCGAAGTTTTCGCAGCCCAGACAGAGGAAGTGGATATGAGTACCAGGGCGGAAGATACCCAAGATCTTCCTCTATAAGCAGGAGCCGGCTGCCGCCATTCACCTTCATGTACACCAAAATATGAAGTCATCTCCAGTCGCGGCCTGAGTGGAGAACGCCTTTGGAATTCACGTGGCCTCCAAAAGCTGCGGAACTTCTTGAATGGAATCACCCATGGATAGCTACCTGGAGACCAGTACTCTTGATCTGCAAGACCTCAAACATCGAGCAGCTCCGGCAACGTCGCTACGGTCCAGGACATCATCTTCACCCCATTCACCAAGGCGCGGGTTGATGGTGTGGACCGGCCGTACCTGGAATGGGAAGACCGATATTTTCTTTGTAGACCCCGACTGAAGGTGAGCGCTGGCGGTTACATCAAGTAACTCGAGAAGGATATCCTCCCCTACATGTGGTCGCCCGTACCTTCTTGGAGACCTTGTGCTGCTACAGGTTTGGGTGCCACCACATGGAATCGAAGGGTTTTGGAAAAACTCCCGCCTACTTCGAATGGAAGGGCGTTTCGTACCTGATGAAGATGTAATATTGAAATATGTCCCCTGACCTGAACCCACTCAATTACCTAGTTCGGCGGAGCTCAACAGGGTGGTCTACAGTGGCGGAGAAATCAACGATCTCGCTCAACTCCGGTACCCACTCACTTTCGCGCGGCCGAATCTCTCGATGGCGCTCCTCCAGAAGGCTGCATCGGAGGCAAAATTACTTTCTTTTTGGCCCCTCCCCTATAATTGCCTACCTCCGAATGAAATAACTCCAGCTTGCAAGCGCTGATACAAACGGAACACTGCCATGGCAAGCGACATCCTTCCTGAATACAACGCAGGTGTTAGCTCCCTCGACTACGGCGGAGTGGCCCTACAGAGACTCATAACATGGGATAGGTCGGAAAGCACCTACACCTTTGGAGTATTTTCAGGCTCTGAAAGCCTCCAGAGCCGTAATATACCCGTTTGCGAAGACCGCAGAGGACCCTATCCTTCAATCAGCGGTAAAAACATTCAGAATGGTTTCCGATCTTTTTATAGATCTTAAAGTTCGCAGGACTTTCTTTCTAACCTTATATGTGCCGCGTTAGCTTTCGATGGGAGGCGAATCTGTGGCGATACCTATAGACATTGAAGAAAGCACTCCTGATGCACTTCCACTCTAATATTTTCCTATTCTCCATTATTAGTATCAGTTTATACTTGTGCATCTCTCAAAGACAGTCCCTGCGTTCAACGAAATCATAGACGTCCTTCTTCGTTTAAGTAGGCTAGTCCTCAGTCTCTAAGCCTGCACCTTTTTTGTGGCTTCACAGTGAGTAACAAGGGCGCTACGGCCCTCATAAGTGACAGTTCCGACGCCTCCCTAGTTGTCTCGCCCTCCAGAACTCGAAGGCCACTTTCTTACGATTTCATTCATACACCTTGTTTTTTGCTCTTTTCTTTGAGAGATGGTACTAGCGTTGGATGACGCGAAGAAATGGTTACCGAGCCAGAGGGGGCCGGATGTCGTTTTGCTAGCACAAAACGAGCAGGTCAGGAGAACACGTACAGTGATGTTGCCAGGGAGTCTTACTAAGGGCTGATGCTGTATGGATATATGAGAGTACATACATGCAGCCATATCTACCGTAGCGGTTATTGGCAAGATGCCTACGGGAAACTCGTCCGAAATTGCTTTTTGAGTCATTAAGAACGAAGGCTTTTCTTCGCAGGTTTTTGACCGTTTCACTTCGTTTTTTTTTTCGTCATACTCCCTACTATATCGCACCCGGCTGGTATTTTGAACCGAGTACCAAATGACCGTGCAATTCAAAGGCTATAGATTTGTAATCGAACGCCACTATCCACAATATACAGTCGCAGGGTTGGCTTTTATTAATTCTGCGTACTTGTTCGCAGTGGTGACACCAGCGCTATAGCGGCAACGCCAAACGGCTGCTCCCTATATTTTCTTCAAAATCTCTCGAAACGAGGGCATAATTTTTGGTTTGACAAATTACTATCGACCAGCTTGGCAACAGCTTGCTGGCTGTGTTTTCATGCCCATTCGGCATTCAAATGTGCCTATTTATCAAAGCCATTTAGCCATTACCAAGAGTCACAGAATCGCTCTTGTTGGAACACTACGAAAGCAAAGTTCGGCAGCTTCAAGGAAAATTTTCTTATCATTACTCTCACTAGTCTACAGCCTCTCGAATTTATTTGCTATTGGGACGTATAGAATTGAACTTGTGCTTTCTTTATGCTATTAAGAAGGAAATGAATGGGCGTAGTTTGGGTTT